AGAAGACGTCAAGGGATGGGTCCTTGGGAACTTCCCGCGAGGATGAGCTGGTTCCTTCCTCAGGTTTGGATGTTGACGGTTCCATTCCAGAGTCTGCAACACCGACAGACACGATCATTTAGGCCTTCGCATTTTGTCCCGTGCGGCGGCAGGGGACAAATTCCTAAAACCCTAACAGTAACTTGAGCTGCCACCCATGGCTCGAGTCCGACAACAGTGGCTCGTCTCTGGTGGAACACCAGGAGACCCAACGCTGTTGCCCACCAACCAAACAAAAAANACACGGCAGAAGAAGTGTGTTTTATCTGTTAAAATCAAATGGTGTATAATGAAGCTCTTGGATTTTTGGTTAATGGTGTAGATTTAAAGTGGACTAGAGTTTGTTACATACTCTCGCGTGTATATAAGACACAAGTGTACCTTAGTTTAATAGTATTGAAAAAGATGGAATAAGATAAACTTCTTCTTTTCAGAATTCTTTACTTTCTGCTCTGTTTTTCGTTTCTTTTTCTGCTCTGTTTTGTTTTTCCTCTGTTCAATATGTAACCCAACTTTCAACATACTTAATTTCTACTATATAAGGAATGAGACTTTCTTAGCTTGAGTGTGGGGGCGATTAGAACTACTCTATTACAATTAGATCAATCAATTAAATAATTTTTAACAATTAATAGTAGATGATATTATGGAAGGAAAATAATTATTTGATCAATTAAGTTAAACACATGCAATAGGAACTTAATGCAAGAAAAAGGTTTGACACGTTTCCTGTAATTTTAAAAGACTTTGCTCATTTCCTTTTAATATTTCAATTTTTAATTCTTAACATTTATAACAATATTAAAAGTTTAATTTCTGTATTTTTTTTTTTAATTTCACCTTTTAGAATATATGTTGCTCTCTTAGATTTTAATTACGTGGTTGTACATCATAATATGAATTTATCCTTTATTTTGTTACTTTGATTCATTAAAATTTTTTAATTGCTCTTTTAAAAAAAAAAAAATAACATTTTAATCTGATAGAAAATCTAGTTAAGAAGATTCAGACCCATCTATAATCAATTTCTTTTTTCCTTTTATAATTTTGCATACCTTACTCTACCTGGGATTAATTGCTGATATCACTAAAACAGTATTTATGTTTTAAATTTTCTTATTACTCTTGTGACCCTAAAATGAGATATTGTCGACTAAAGTACAATGTTTGTGTAAAATAAGGGGGAAAAAAAAGATATAAGTTTCAAATAATTGTACAATTTATGAGCAGTTAACGGTGTGTTCCTGCTACACTTAACAAAAAATTTTGGCAAATGAATAATTATACATGATATAAATTAAAAAAAAAAATTAAAAATTAAACTAAAAATAATATTTATTCAATCATAAGCTGACACATAAGCTAAAGAAATTTCAAACACGATAATTTCAAAAACCTTTAGAGTCTGCTTAAGAGTTTTATGGTAGCAGTTATGAGTGTAAACTATCGTAGTGGTTTTGAGAGTAAACTATAGTAGCGGTTTTAAGGGGTTTTTAGTAGCGGTTTTTAAAATACCCAACCTGTGCTTGAGAGTTTATTTTCCAGCGGTTCTGACAGTTTTTTAAAATGATAAATTTACATATATGCCCATAAAAATACCTTAACTTCAATCTGTATTTGAGAGTTTTTTTTTTTTTTCAATTACCAATATTTAGTATCAAAGTTCCTTCCAAGTTTAATTTATTTGTATGTTCTTACTACAATATGTAATTTAGTTGATGACATTAATTGTGCTTTCACTATTAGCATACTTGGTAATTTGACTTCTACTCAACAACTAGATTTGCCGAAAATATATGCAAAAGAAGCCAAATTGAGCTTCCCACATTACCAATGAGTTCGGGTTTTCCATTGAATAACCTAATTCATATCCAAGAACAACAAACTCTAAAAGAGATTCATAATAGTGGAAAGGGGTTTTTTAGGGATAAAATTTTTAAACCAACCAAAACACTCCGATTTGGAGTGTTTTATAAACCCCTCAAAAATACACTACATTGGTTTTGGGGGGTTTTTAAACCAGCCAAAACTAGTCCATAAAAAATCTGACAAATAATGGTTTTAGAACACCTCAAAACCAGTATAATTAAAAACCCCAAAAAACTAGTGAAAAAAAAAACTCTCAAGCAGACTCTTAGGTTATAAAAGGCTTGGGAACTCTCTCTTCGCAAAATAATCAAGGAGAGTTCTTCTACCTAAGTCCATGAGAGACCCATGAGCCAGCCAAATTATTTGAGTTGTTGTAGAAGGTTAAATTTAAAACAAAAAACATATAAAAAACCTTATAATCAAAGTTCGGCAGAGGTAGAGGAAGAGGTCGAAACTTTTATAAGCCTAGACTGTTTGTCAATTATGTGGAAAGAATGGACACATGGCCTTGCAATGCTACCATCGGTTTGATACTTCCTTTCAAGGAAACCAAAATCACAGACCACAACTGGGTGAATACAATGCCTCGCAGCAGCATACTCAATTCACAACTCCTGCACAAGTGTTCTTTGCAACAACTCAGCCTACTCAGTCAAGTTACTATCCAAGACAGCCTTACCAAATTTCCTCACCAGTGACACATCATCCAATCGTTTCAGAATAACACTCCAGTAAACTCCTCTGAACGAAATTTGTCACAGCAGCATGAATATTCAGGAGAAAATGGACTGAACAAGCAAACTGCAACAATTCAGCCAAATCAAATAGCATCTCCTCTAACAGTTTCAGATGCCAACTGGTTATTGACTCAGGTGCAACTCATCATAACACCTGACTTCAAAATCTCTCAGTCAAAAATCAATATACTGGAACCGAATCTCTCCAAGTTGGGATGGACAGTGTCTTGACATCTCACATACAGGTTTGACTATTTTACCCCTCCTCTTGTATGAACAAATCATTCAACTTAAAAAACTATGTGTTCCTCACGTGACTAAGAATTTTGTGAGTATTTCAAAAATTACAAGAGATAATAATGTGCTGGTTGAGTTTTCTGCTGATGATTGTGTTATAAAGGACAAGACTTCTCAGGTTGTTCTTCTTAAGGGAACTTTACACAATGGCTTGTATCAACTGAACATTCCAAGTGGAAATGAAGCCTGCCGACAACAGAATTCAATCCCATTACAGCACTCTCTTCTGCAACAATCACAAGTGCAAATTTTTTTTTGGTTTTTCCTGTTCACAAAATCGCAGGACAGCAAGGTTCTCGTGATACATTTACCAAAGAAGAAAAATAGCCAAGGTCCAACATCAATTAGTGAAGGAGACTTATGGCATAGAAGATTGGCCATGCTCATATTCAGTCCTTAACTCGCTTGTATCAACGTTGCATGTAAAGGATAGCATCAATAAAATTCAATTTTGTGAAGATGTCATATGGCAAACTCCATCAAACTCTTTTTCTCATCACAACTCAGGCAAGTAACCTTTTGAGTTGATATGCAGATGTTTGGGGACCTGCCCCTGTAGTTTCAGCTCTGGATTCAGATATTATCTATTACTTGTGATGATCATACTAGGTACTCTTGGATTTACCCCCTCAAAATGAAATCAGAAGTAACTTCAGTTGTTAAACAATTCATACAACTAGTAGACAACAATTTGATGCCAAAATCAAGATTTTTCAGTCAGATTGGGGAGGAGAGTTCAGACCACTTGCGGTTTTTTGCTCAGCAGGGGATCCATTTTCGGCACTGTCCCCATACGCCATCAACAGAATGGGAGGATTGAACGCAAAACACGTCATGTTACTGAAAGGGACTCACATTACTAGCACAAGCTTCCATGCACTACATTTGGTGGTTTGCCTTTCATACTGCTGTGTACCTGTTAACAGACTACCATTTCAGTTGTGGGAAATCAAACTCCCTTTTATCTTCTGTTTCATAAAGCAACAGACTACAAGGCCATCCGCATCTTCGGGTGTCAATGCTTTCCTTTTATTAGACCCTACAAAGCACAAAATTTGCCTTCATTCTGGAGATGTGTTCCCTTGGGTATAGCTATATCACAAGGGATATCATGTCTCAACACTCTGGACGAGTTACACCGTACAGAGTATCAAATTCAATGAACAGATTTTTCCCTTTGCAAAAGGTTCTCTATTTCTCATACTTCAACAACCAAGACACCCATGTCATTTCCATCAAATCCTTGGAAGCTTCTTGCTACCATTCCTAATCAGTCTGCCCTCCTACAGCACCTTCTCTAAACCAAAAATCTGTCACCACAAAATCAGTCCTCGGATCCACATTAACTTTGAAGTTGATCTAGCTCGTATACAACTCAAGCCCTTCTTTCAAGTTCCACTACACCACCACTGTCCAGAACACACACCCTATGATTACCCGAAGAAAAGCAGCAGCCCTGTTAGCAATCTCACCTCTGAATCTCATAAAGAACCAACCAGTTCAGCATCCGCCTTAACCAATCCTTATGGGTGCAGGCTATGACTACCGGATATGAAGCTTACAACAAATCACACTGGTCTTTGGTTCCATATACAAATGATATGACTCTTGTTGGCAATAATGGGTCTTTAAGGTAAAACTTAATTCAGATGGGAGTGTTCAACGTTACAAGGCAAGACTTGTTGCCAAAGGATTCATCAAATTCCGGAGGAGATTATTTTGAAACTTTTTCTCCAGTCATCAAAGCATCCACCATCCGAGTCATTTCTCACTTGCGGTTAGTCATGGCTGGAGGTCCAACAAGTTGACGTTAATAACGATTTCTTAATGGTGATTTAACTGAATCAATACATGCCTCAACAGAAGGATTTGTTGATCAGATAAGCCTCAATATGTTTGTAAATTACACAAGGCATTATAGGGTAAAACAGGCTCCGCGTGCATGGTATGACAAGCTAAAGACTGCATTATTGCAACAGAACTTCCAAAATTCAACTTCTGATTCCAGTATTCTATTATCATAATAGCAACAAAGTTGTGTATACCTTGTTTACGTTGATGACATTACTTACGGAAAATGACACCTCAACCATTCAGCTAGTAATTTCCAATTTGGACAGCTTGTTTGGTCTCCAAATTCTTGGCTCCATAACTATTTTCGGCATATCTGTTGTTCATAACAGTTCTGGATTATTACTTAATCAGAGCAAATATGCACAAGATATTCTTCTCAAGTATGGCATGACTGAGTGCAATCCCTGCTCTACCGAGGGTTCTTGGCTCCAAACTTTGTTTGAGGATAGCCCTCCGTTTGAACAACCCTCTGTTTACAGGAGCCTTATTGGAGCTTTGCAGTACCTCACCATGACCAGACACGATCTCCCTTTACGGTAACAAACTCAGTCAGTTTCTCAAGGCTCCAACTATTAATCAGTGCAGGCTTGCAAGCATGTTCTTCGCTATATTAAAGGAACTTTACACCATGGTCTACATATTTCTAAAGGCTCCAGTCTACAGCTTGAAGGATATGTGATGCTGACTGGGCAAGTAATCATCTGACCGAAAATCAACAGTGGATATTGCATTTTCCTGGCTCAAATTTGATTCAGTGGTGCTCCAAAAACAGCATGTTGTTGCCTTATCCTCCACTGAAGCAGAATATCGTGCCTTAGCCCATGCTGCCACTGAAATGCTTGGATCCAAAACTGTTTCAAGAACTTCATATCTCCATTCTGGTCTTCCGTTCTCTGGTGTGATAATACAAGCGCTGGAGCTCTTGCTTCCAACCCCGTCTTCCATGCGCGCACCAAACACATCGAAATTGATGTGCACTTTGTACGGGAAATGGTTCAAGCTAAACGTCTCGTAGTCAAATGTTGCCTCCACCTTCCAAGTTGCCGATATTCTACCAAACCCCTCTCCAGCTCTTGGTTTTGCTCTCTCGGGAAGCTTCGCTTTCTGCTCTCCTGAATTTAGAGCTTGAGGGACGAACTGACCATCCTGAACAAGCTGCAAATTCAACGACAGGTTGTGTTAAATCAGCTGTGAGAGCAAACTTTAAAGAATGAAGGTTGAGTAAATAAAGTCAAAATCGGGTTCAAAGTTACGCTTGAAAGACGATGAAGAATGAAGGTTGTTAACTCAGCTGTGAGAGCAAAATCTTAAGACGATGAAGGTGATGACAAAGTTTTTGTGTGTTGTGTTCAGTTTTTTCCTTTGTTGAGTTTTAGCTTGAGGGACGATGTTGACAGAAGAAGAAGTTCAAGCTTCAAACTCAGAAAGTATGAACTGCATGCATGCACAATCTTCTGGTTCACGTGCATCAGTTAAATAATAACAAACTTGCTTTTGGTTAAGCAATTGGTCAGTTGTTAAAGCAAGTTGCAGTGTTAAAGCAACTTGCAGAGCAACTTGCATGCAGTAATGCAAGTGATAATCAACTTGCACACGGGGCAAGTATTGAAAAAGATGGAATAAGATAAACTTCTTCTTTTCAGAATTCTTTACTTTCTGCTCTGTTTTTAGTTTCTTTTTTCTGCTCTGTTTTGTTTTTCCTCTGTTCATGGTATCAGAGCTATTGACATACGTCAATGGCAGATCCTAAGACACCCCTCACATCAGTTCTCAACACAGAAGGAAAAGCCATGAATTCAACTTCAGTCTCAACCCTGAATAGCGCGCTACCTACCATCACCGTAAAACTTGGAGAACGAAATTATGCCTACTGGAAATCCCAAGTCCTCCCTTCACTAAAAGCTTACGAGCTAGAAGGTTTTGTTACAGGTGACAAACCTTGTCCTTCTCCCTTTACTATTTCTGAAACTGATGAATCAAAACAAACGGTCAATCAAGAACAGTTAGCTTGGAAAAGAATTGATCAGTTGTTATTTAGCTGGTTGATATCCACCATCTCAGAAACTATGTTCAGGCACGTTGCTAACTGTGTTACAGCATTTGATATATGGCACACACTAGAGATGCATTTTCTAACAGACTCTAAGTCTAGGATCCTTCATCTAAGAAATCAACTACAAACGACTAGAAAAGACAACTCTAGCATAAATGATTATGTGCTCAGGATGAAGGAAATTGCAGACTCTTTGACCACCAGTGGTGTGGTTGTAGCAGATGAAGAATTACTCTTATACATTCTTGATGGACTTGGAACTGAGTATGATGCAATGGTGGCTACTTTAACTGCTAGGAGTAGTGAAGTATCATTACAAGAAGCACAATTCTTGTTACATAAACACGAAATGAGACTGGAGAAACAACATTCTGCCTATATTGGTTTTCATGAAGCTGCTGCTTTCCTGGCAAACAAACAGCCCTCCAACACTCAACTGACCACGCCAATGCCAAACACCTCAGGACCACAAACAAATCACCCTATACATCATTTCTCTCACTCCCAAAATCAACATGAACCAAAACACTCCTATCTACCTCCTCAAAATTTCCAACCNATATATATATATATATATATATATATATAGAGAGAGAGAGAGAGAGAGAGAGAGAGAGAGAGAGTAATCCCCCTAAGGTATGATACATTTGCAAAATTTTCCTGAGGTTTTTGAAATAACAGATTTCCCCTATTGTTAATAAACTATTAATGGGCTGTTAAAATCTATATTATAATGAGTTAGTCCATATTACCAAGCCGTTCTCCTACTCTTTTTTTTTTTAACAACTAAAACTTAACAATAAAGGGATTTTTATTATTTCTGAAACCTTAAGGCTTGTAATTATATCATACCTTAGGAGGACTAATTGATTAACTAAAAAATATACTATAAAGGGATTAGATAAGATCAGGGATCATAGTATACAAGGATTAAATAAAATCAGGAATATGGCTATGATTCCTATGAGGAATATAATTATTGTTAGGAGCAAATAAGATAATAAATATGACTATGCTCTGATTGTTGTAAGGAATATTATTATAGTTAGGAGTTCATTTAGTGAAAATAATAGCAAACATTAACATGTATGAATATAGTACATAATTATTACTATAAGCAATGATCGATATAAAAAAGTACAACACCCCTTATACTAATTAATAACAACACAATAAATCCAGTACCTAACCCGCTAATAATTAATAAAATGGAAACAATCTAAATTTCTACACCAACCCATGATGTTTAATCATTCTTTTTACATTTGTTAAATATGAAGCCTTAAACGACACCATTTTAACTTAAGCCAAGAAAGCCCAATACAACACCGTTGTGACTTAAACTGACACTTCATCCTGATCGTTGGTTTGAGAACAGATCTGACAGCTGAAGACTTAAGCTGAGTCAAACCTATAAAAGCTAATGATGCTTCAGTTTCCAAGTAACGCGTTTTTCTCTATGTTTAATATCTCTCTGAGTTACAAAATTAGGGTTCAAGATTAGGGTTTGCTGTGTGGGTGTAAATCTGCGGGTAATCTGTCCATTAAGTTGTGTGTCTTAGTGGGGTGGGAACCTGGTGTAGAGTTCTTATTTCAGATTGTAGGTTTACTATTGTTATTCTAAATCCTGTTTGATCTTGGTTGAAATCTTGTAAAGGGAGAGAGTTTGAGGGTTGTAACCGTTCTTGATCATAATAGTAAGTGCAGCGAGCATCCATATTCTGGAGCACAACGTGGACGTAGCTTGTTCAATATTGAACAAGCGAACCACGGTAAATACTGTGTGTTTGGTTTGCGTTGATTGTGTGTTTGTTGGTTGATGTTTGCTTGATTTGAGTAGAGTGGATTTACAACAGTGGTATCAGAGCCTTGTTTAGGTCTAAGGTGTATCTAGGTTTAAGAATCGTTTAACTTTTGACAAATTCGAAAATTAGGGTTTGTCAGATTTTAGGGGTTTTTCGATTTAAAGGTTCCTAGATCATTAGGACTTCAAATCTTGCTGAATCGTGGGATTAATTCGTGAGATTAGGTCACAAACACAAGGGATCGACGAATTTTGGGCAAAATCAAAATTAGGGTTTTGTTAGAATTCGGGGGTTTTCTTTCAAATTAGGGTTTCGAATCTTACTGAATCTGTTTAAGAGTATTTCGGCTGGAACACCAGTGACCGTCTTAAAAACTGCCTGGCAGTGCTTGGCAACCTCTGGTATAACAACGCCACATACTTCTTAGACTGTTTTTTTTTTCTTTTGCCTTGTCATTACATTATAATGAGCACTACTTGCATGGAGATCTCCCAATACGATGGGAAGATCGATTTTAAAACATGGAAAAAGAAAATGAAGGCCTTGTTATCTCACAACAAGGTCGGGATCACACTTGAAAAGGATGAGTCCAAATGGCCAAAAGAAATGAAAAAGAAAAAGGAAGAAGTGGACGAAAAAGCATACAATTTGACCATTATGAACCTGTTAGACACCGTGCTGCAAAAGGTGGATGGTGTGGAATCTCCAATTCCACTCTGGGGTAAACTCGAGTCTCTGTATGCTCTTAAATCTGCCCCTAATTTAGCTTTCTTGAAAGGTGCTTTATTTTCTTATAAAATGGACATAGGTAAATCCCTAGATGACAATCTTGATGAATTCTTAAAAATGACCCTAACCCTAAAAGGAACTGACCAAGAACTAGGAGATTCAAGCCTTGTTATGATTCTGTTAAATTCCCTACCTGAAGAATATTTAGTGGTTAAGAATGCACTCCAGTATAGTGGGACAATATCTAGTGTGGACTTGATTCTTTTTGGACTAAAATCTAGGGAATTAGAATTAAAGATCCAGAAGCGTAATGGTAGCAATTTGTTTGTGAAAGGGAAGGTTGAGGTTGGGCAATCTAGTAAAGATAATGGAAAAACCCATCAGAGAAATGTAGGCTTTAAAAACAAGAAGAACAGTAAAGGAAATGGTAGAACTAAAGGGGAATCTAGGAAATGTTTCTTCTATAATAAGGTAGGACACCTAAAGAAAAATTACTATGATTGGATCAAAAAGAACAAACAGAATAGTACAGAGACAAACCTAGCCAGCTCTAGTAGCAACCTAGAAATATCAGAAGCCCTTACCATTTCTAATACATCTAGAGGCAGTGAATGGGTACTAGACTCAGGTTGTAGCTTCCATATGAGCCCTAACAAAGACTGGTTTCAAAGACTTAAAATTTGGGATTAGGAAACTGTCTTTATGGGGAATAACCACTCCTGTGAGGTTCAAGGGATAGGGGATATAACCATTAAGCTAAATAATGGTAAGTTAGTATTACTAATAAGGGTCAGGTTTATACATGAACTAAAACGTAACCTAATTTCCTTGGGAACCTTGGATGAATCAGGCTGTTCTTATAAGGCTCAAAATGGGTGTATGGAAGTCTACAAAAATGGAAATGTGTTAATGAAGGGGGTTAAGAAAAATGGGCTTTATATATTGTGTGGACA